AACAGTGCCTTTAAAATTTAATACAGTAAAATGGACAGAATAAAAAAATAAGTGCCTCATAAGCTTATGTGGTGAACTGGATATAACCATAAATAAATTTTACCCATATAACAATCTGCTAACACCAGTGCTAGACATATCTCAATTTGCCTCCCAACACCTCCAGTTAAAATGTCCATTAGTAAATGTAATTATTTTTTCTTATAACATTAACTACTTTTGGTTATATCTGGGGAGTGTTTATTGTGGGGTGCACATGGGGAAGGGGTAGTAAGGGAAGGTTTTCCTAATTTGGGAGAGTGAAGACTTAAAATAAAATATTGAAAAATTAACTGTGAGTTAATGGTTTTAAACTGTGACTGTAGGTCTTAAACTATTTTAACAATAGTTTGAAATGTTTGTAAAACTAGAAAATCTAACTGTAGATTGAATAAAGAATAGTTAATTTTATTTCTTTTTTTCTTTGACTCTTATCTTTAATATAAATATTCTGTAATCTGCAACACACTATAGGAATCAAATTATCCAAAGCTTATAAAAACCAGCAAATCTTAATGCATGATATACATAATGCCATGAGCAAATTCCAAACACGCTGCCACACGCTTCCATGGATTATAAAATTGCATGCATTATATTACAATGTGGTGAAAGCAAACTGCTAACAAAACTGGGCCTGGGTCAGGAGTCATATTGCTGCAACCTACTGTTTCATGGTGTTATATTGGAGGCAAGGGACTACAGGGTGAAAGGGAAGGGGAGACAGCATGCAGTGCATGGACCCATTCAAACTGGAATAATCCTTAACCTGGGAACTAAGGTCTGATTTTACAGACAGATGTGATTAAAGATATGCTGCTTATGTGAAATGAACATGTAATACAGTATGTGTTAAATCTAATTCCAAATGAAATGAATATACCTTAAAAGAATTAAATTAATACACTATGGTAGTTACCCATAAATTTTGAACATCTTACATGGTCAAAACATTTTATCATTTCATTTTTTGCTCTTCCAAAATCAAAATATCCTGAATTTATAATGCTGCTCAGAATATTTAACAATCTTTTTATGGGTATCATAAACATATCCTGGTTTTGAAAAACAAACTTGTCTGATTTTGTTCAATGAGAGAATAATATATCGTACACTGGATATATCTAGGAACAATAGTAAGAACACATTTTCATAATAGCAGTTCAGAAGCATGCAATGGGTATGTTTTATTTCAACAGAAAAAGTCAAAAGATGAAATCATGGCAGTAAGCTAAAACATCTATAAAATATCATCCTCATGCATTTAAATGTATAATAATGCAGTGTGTACAAAACTCATACCAGTACTGTTTCCTTTGTCTGAAATGGAGATTCAACACAAATATGGTTTTAATGAAAATTAGTATGCATTGTTAGCGTCATTAAGCAAAAAAGAACATGAATTTTTACAACATTTAATATCCTACTGCAATCTTTTTTGCCCAGAACAATGTTCAAAAGAAGCATTTTAAAATAGAACATCTTGTCTATTTGGATGAGACATTATCATTCATGATAAAAATTTTGGACATGGCAATTTTTTTTTAATAAGAGAGAAATTACATTATTCTTAAACTTTACCCAACATTGCCATTTATTTGCCTGGTAAGAATGCTGCCAGATACTAATTTTGAACATTGTGGTAGGCCCTCTAATAAAACTAAAAACCAACTGAGCAGAGCTAGAGAAATGAAAGAGTTCTTAAAATTATATAATCTAAGCCACTGTGAGGACATCAGAATGAATAACACAAAATCAAAACAAAATTTTTAATTCACTACTATTGCTAGATTATTCAAAGAAAAATCAACACTGTTAATTTTACAACATCAGCCACAGAACGTGAATTTTCTAACTCAAATCACAAAAATGTGGGTTATAAACTCTTATTAAAAACAACAAAAACCAAACAAAAATAAACACTCTGTAGTCTAAGAGTACTAATATTAATCATTCCATTATAATGTACATCAATACAATAGATATCATACCTTGGTCCCTTCAAGTTTGAGCTTACTCTTCAGTAGAACTTTAAACTCGTCGAGATCCAACTCTCCTGATCCATCTTCATCAGCCTCCTCAAACGCCTGCTTCAACAGGTTCAGTGTGTCAATGTTGATCTTTTCTTCAATCTGCAAACAAAAAACAGTTAAATTTTACATGTATAGAATCATGACTACTTTCCCATGAAACCTCTCTACAACGGACTTTGTTGAATCTTATATCAGATTCTGCAATCAAGTGACACAGAAAACCCTCTTACCTTCATGACTTTCCTGACATTTTGTGCAAATGGTCAAAATTACACCTGGAATATGCATTAGCATTATGTGCTTCGACGTCTGGTTGGTTTGGGTGCAATTTACAGACAAAATTTGATATTTTCAATCACCTTGAACGTTTCTAGGCTCAACGTTTCTAGGCACAATGTATGTTATTTAGCCACCTGTATGAATTCTATTATAAAAACTACTGAATATACAAAGCAAACAAACAAATGCCTTTGTCCTTACAACAAAATAATACCTACTCGTTTCATCTGTGAAACTTTTTTGAGGCCACAAAACACTTATAAAAAACTTCATACATTTCCTTTCACCTTAGGCCAACTCTGAAATGACTTTCTTATCACAAAATCACACATCATAAATGTATTGTAAATGTGCCTAGCCCCTGCTGATTAGAAATAAAACTGGAAAAAGTGTTCAATATCAATGGTGTAGCTTAGACTTTAAAAGTCACGTATGGCATGATCCTAGACTGATGAAACACCACTGGGGTGAAACCTTGTTAGTGAAGCATATCTTTCCACAATTATATCTTATTTACCGACTGCTGGGTTAAATAATAATACATATAACAAAACACCTCTGATGTATCGCTGAAAGGCCTTCCTCGTGGATGAGGAACTGGTTTTTTCACTTCTTCTCCTCCGCCAGTTAGAAATGTCAAGTCTGGTAGTGTTCTAAGGAAATTATTTGCCATATCTTATAGTTATGAAGTCAACTCTTTGAACTGGTTTTGTAAGAGCACTTTCCTGAGCACAAACTATGAGATTACTTGCAGGTAAAGTACCAAATGAATTTTATATCCTACCTTATCGCGATCACTTGACCATAGTGTTAATTGAAGGTGTATAAGTATGCAAGCTCATGCCACCTCTCATCTCAAATTCAGGAAGTCTAATAAATCACTCAAACAACAGCCTTTTTTTTTTTCTTAATGATCTGTTTTACCACATGAGCAACCAATGGCAAACAAGTTGCAAATTACTAGCCATCTTGTAGAAGAGGTTTAATTTCATTCTCTGTTACCGTCTCTAATTTTCAATGAATACAAATTGGAAAATTAGAATTTCATTTTAATTGCTTCCTTAATCAAATTAACAGTCAGAATCCCATCTTAGATAAACTTTATCATTTAAGTTCTAAAACTATATACACAAGACTCAAAATAAAGAACATTTCCTTAAACTGTTATCATGGTTTACATGTATCTTGCAAAAATAAAAGAAGATTGNATTATATTATAATACGCTGCCACACGCTTCCATGGATTATAAAATTGCATGCATTATATTACAATGTGGTGAAAGCAAACTGCTAACAAAACTGGGCCTGGGTCAGGAGTCATATTGCTGCAACCTACTGTTTCATGGTGTTATATGGGAGGCAAGGGACTACAGGGTGAAAGGTATGGGAAGACAGCATGCAGTGCATGGACCCATTCAAACTGGAATAATCCTTAACCTTGGAACTAAGGTCTGATTTTACAGACAGATGTGATTAGAGATATGCTAACTTATGTGAAATGAATATGTAATACAGTATGTGTTAAATCTAATTCCAAATGAAATTAATATACCTTAAAAGAATTAAATTAATACACTATGGTAGTTACCCATAAATTTTGAACATCTTACATGGTCAAAACATTTAATCATTTAATTTTTTGCTCTTCCAAAACCAAAATATCCTGAATTTATGATGCTGCTCAGAATTTTTCACAATATTTTTTTGGGTATCATAAACATATTCTGGTTTTGAAAAACAAACTTGTCTGATTTTGTTCAATGAGAAAATATCGTAGGTTGAATATATCTAGGTACAGAAGTAAGACCATATTTTCATAATAGCAGTTCAGAAGCATGCAATGGGCATGTATCATTTAAACAGAAAAAGTCAAAAGATGAAATCATGGCAATAAGCTAAAACATCTATAAAATATCATCCTCATGCATTTAAATGTATAATAATGCAGTGTGTACAAAACTCATACCAGTACTGTTTCCTTTGTCTGAAATGGAGATTCAACACAAATATGGTTTTAATGAAAATTAGTATGCATTGTTAGTGTCATCAAGCAAAAAGAACATGAATTTTTACAACATTTAATATCCTACTGCAATCTTTTTTTGCCCAGAACAATGTTCAAAAGAAGCATTTTAAAATAGAACATCTTGTCTATTTGGATGAGACATTATCATTCATGATAAATATTTTGGACAAGGCAATTTTTTTTAATAATAGAGAAATTACATTATTCTTAAACTTTACCCAACATTGCCATTTATGGTAAGAATGCTGCCAGATACTAATTTTGAACATTGTGGTAGGCCCTCTAATAAAACTAAAAACCAACTGAGCAGAGCTATAGAAATGAAAGAGTTCTTAAAATTATATAATCTAAGCAACTGTGAGGACATCAGAATGAATTACACAAAATCAAAACAAATTTTTAAATTCACTACTATTGCTAGATTAATTCAAAGAAAAATCAACGCTGTTATTTTACAACATCAGCCACAGAACGTGAATTTTCTAACTCAAATCACAAAAATTGTGGGTTATAAACTGTTATTAAAAACAACAAAAACCAAACAAAAATAAACACTCTGTAGTCTATGAGTACTTATATTAATCATTCCATTATAATGTACAACAATACAATAGATATCATACCTTGGTCCCTTCAAGTTTGAGCTTACTCTTCAGTAGAACTTTAAACTCGTCTAGATCTAACTCTCCTGATCCATCCTCATCAGCTTCCTCAAACGCCTGCTTCAACAGGTTCAGTGTGTCAATGTTGATCTTTTCTTCAATCTGCAAACAGAAAAGTTATATTTTACATATAATCATAACTATTTTCCCATGAAAACTCTCCTCAATGAACTTTGTTTAATCTTATATCAGATCCTGCAATCAAATGACACACCTTCAACTAAAACCTTTTACCTTCATGATTTTCCTGACATTTTGTGCAAATGATCAAAATTACACCTGGAATATGCAATAGCATCATATTCTTTGATGTCTGGCTGGTTTGGGTGCAATTTACAGACAAAATTTGATATTTTCAATCAACTTAAACGTTTCTAGGCTCAACGTTTCTAGGCACAATGTATGTTATTTTGCCACCTGTATGAAGTCTATTATAAAAACTAGTGAATATACAAAGCAAACAAACAAATGCCTTTGTCCTTACAACAAAATAATACCTACTCGTTTCATCTGTGAAACTTTTTGAGGCCACAAAACACTTATAAAAAACTTCATACATTTCCTTTCACCTTAGGCCAACTCTGAAATTACTTTCTTATCACAAAATCACACATCATAAATGTATTGTAAATGTGCCTAGCCCCTGCTGATTAAAAATAAAACTGAAAAAAGTGTTCAATATCAATGGTGTAGCTTAGACTTTAAAAGTCACGTAGAGGCATGATCCTAGATTGACAAAACACCACTGGGGTGAAACCTTGTTACTGAAACATATCTTTCCACTATAACTTATTTACCGACTGCTGGGTTAAATAATATATATATTACAAAACACCTCTGATGTATCACTGAAAGGCCTTCCTCTTGGATGAGGAACTGGTTTTTTCACTTCTTCTCCTCCGCCAGTTAGAAATGTCAAGTCTGGTAGTGTTCTAAGGAAATATTTTGCCATATCTTGTAGTTGCAAAGTCAACTCTTTGAACTGGTTCTGTAAGAGCACTTTCCTGAGCACAAACTATGAGATTACTTGCAGGTAAAGTACCAAATGAATTTTACATCATACCTTATCGCGGTCACTTGACCATAGTGTTAACTGAAGGTGTATATGTATGCAAGCTCATGCCACATCTCATCTCAAATTCAGGAAGTCTAATAAATCACTCAAACAACAGCCTTTTTTTTTTCTTAATGATCTGTTTTACCACATGAGCAACCAATGGCAAACAAGTTGCAAATTACTAGCCATCTTGTAGAAGAGGTTTAATTTCATTCTCTGTTACCGTCTCTAATTTTCAATGAATACAAATTGGAAAATTAGAATTTCATTTTAATTGCTTCCTTAATCAAATTAACAGTCAGAATCCCATCTTAGATAAACTTTATCATTTAAGTTCTAAAACTATATACACAAGACTCAAAATAAAGAACATTTCCTTAAACTGTTATCATGGTTTACATGTATCTTGCAAAAATAAAAGAAGATAAAAAGCAATAAAGAAATTAAAAAAAACATAAAAGTCTGCATTCTGCTAATATTTTACCATATTATATACTATATACTTATACCATTTCCCTCAACTAAAAGGGTTCCTAGGCATCAAAAATTTGTTTGTGTATCAAAGTCTCTCCCTCATCACCCTAATCACATTAAAATTCCAGACTTTCTCAAACAGGTGGCTTAACATTGACAGGTACTTGCCTGATTGCAAAATCCTGACTGACTTATCTCTTGAGATACAAAAGAGAACTTATTGCACTTGCTATAGAGGAGGAAAAGGCCAAAAATTCAAAACTTTAGGTAAAATGATGCTATTTCTTTAGCCAAAATTAATAGCATATGGTGTCAAATTGCCATACAATTGCGTTTCAACTCCCAATTTTATAAATCTTTTTTTTTTTTTTTTTGAAGAATGTATACCTTCTTTTTCAAAGCATCTTCTGCTAAAGCTTTCTCAAACTTTTCATTTTCATCTTTCTCTCTCCTGGCTTCTTCATCCTCTTCAATTCCATTCTCACCAGTATACAATGCGTTTGGTATCTGTGTATAAAAAGCTTTGCTGTCCGTTTTGGGAGCTTTGTCAATGGTTGAAGAAGATGACACAGAACTTGTTGGTGACAAGGACCTGTCGCCATCCTCAGAGTACTGATCGTCTGACATTTTGCGATTTTCTTAAAATGACACTGCACAAGAAAACCTGTGAAATGTAACAATGGCAGTTTTCATTTGACACAAAATGAGACCATCTCAGCATTGAAAATCAATCTCCTTTTGATTCATTCCAACAACCAAGCACCATGTAGTCAGATGTCCTGTATACCTTTGATGTGAAATAAGCACCAAGTTTATACACCCTGTGTCCACAACGTCAACAAAATCTCACCGGGTTGGGAGTTCTCAAAACAAGTCTTAATCTATGTGTTAGAAACTGAAGCCAGGTAACTCATCAACGGCTTATGTAAAATAAAATGTCTCGTCCCTACTTCGCAATACATTCATGCTACCCATGAAGTACGCTCTCTGTCCTAGACGAGGGTCCAAATAAAGTAATAAACCACAAAAATCCCATGAAAATCCTTCTATTTACTGCGCTGGTCATAGCATTGCCTTCTTCTCTAGTAACTAGTCTCAAACCTGGCTACGACATCACCTAAATTGTTATTCATTCAAATAAGCAGTTGACCAAATCACAATGAAAGAATTCAACAGTTGCTAAACACAACTTAGGAACCAGTCAAAGAAACTATAACACTGAATCATAATGGGACCACCAGTTGGCTTACACAGCAAATAAAAGTGACCAGCCCCCGGAAATAATGCCTATTGTGACCATTGCAGTATGTTTTTAATCTTAAGTAAATTGCATTTGCATTGCTTCTGGAGCACTATTTACGAAATACACTGCATAAGTTCAAGTTACAAGTGAAAGTAAAGAGTCAATATTTATGCAATGCTTTATTCTTTATATGATATAACCAAATCACTATTATTTGTTTAAATTGCTTTATAATCTTATTTCGCTAAAAAAACTATAGCTTTTTATTCTGCAAGAGGGCAGCAGCAACCACTTATCCAACAAGACAGACTTTCCACGTTTGAGCAGGGATATTACGCATCTGGATGATGTGGTTGAGACAGAGATTTGTAAGCACAGCTACAGCAATACCATACCAATTCAAATTGAAATAAATTTCATTTCAAATATTCCAAAAATGTATTCTTTTGAAGTGCCTACTTGATTATTTATAAATGAACAATTTAAATATCATGATTTTTATTGACACATTTTCTTGAATTTAGAAAGTGAAATACTAAAATATTAATACCTTAATTAATTTTTTTAATGTTTCCATAAACAGAGCAGAGTTTTGAGGTTAAAGGTGAAATTGAAGAACTCATGTCCATTCAATGTCCTTTCCAAATGCTCACTAACTATAAACATTTTCCTCAACTATTAATTTTTCAATGTTATTTTTCCAATAAATATAACTCACATATGGGGCAATATCCATGTCAAAAATTTTACTTCAATTTTTTAAAAACTTTTTCTTTAATTTTCCATTTTATAAGAATCAATGTCCATTGTAATGCCTAACAAATACCAGTGAATTGCCCATATCATAATGCCCTTGAGGAAACGGCTACTAACACAATGATGGTAAATTTGATATCAAAATAATTTAAACTTATTAAAACAAAATTAAAAGAAATTGGTCTACTGACGACCAAGCATGCTCTTAAAAAACAAGTTTTCCAAATATTTATTTAACTAATTAAAATCTAACTTCTGAATTCACATATTGCCCAAAAGTACATACTGATGTATATATATACACTCACTGACTGCAACCAAAAGCACAACCACCAAAAATTTCAAAACACCCCACGTACCCATCCTTTCCACTTTGCAAACCTGACTATATCTTCCCCTTCTGCCTTCTCATACATAGTCTTAAAGGAGATGTTCTGATCAAAACCCCAGGGTCCTTTTAATATGCAACCATCGTCATCTCCAGGTTTAGCTTCCTTGAAGCAGGCTGCATCACCAAGTTCTTTATCTTTATAAGGATTTTCCATGATTTCTGTTGTTTATGCCAAACACTTCGGATGTCAGTCTCTCAAATATATGTGTTCAATATAGGCAATGGCTGCTGTTATCTGACTAAACAAGAGATTGCATGTCTTCAGTTCTACAGATAATTGTTTTCTACCCACAGCAAGACACTAGAAGCAGCAGCAAAACTTGTTTTCAAATATGTATATCCTGTCATATGTTTTTAAGTAAATTCAGTGGTAAAAGACAGTAAACCTTGCTAAAATCTTCAAAGATTTCACCTACTAGTAATAGAAAGACAGTGTGCCATTCTAGTCTGTCACTGTGTCTGTCTACGAACTAATCATACATTACATATATATATATATGAAACTACTAGTAATTTCCTACCATCATCAATTCTTAATGACAGGTTACCTGACTGCTCTCTATTGGAAGGCATGAGAAGCACTAATTCATTAGCAAGTGGGTTCTACAAGTCAGAACCTTCATGATTTATATATGAAGTGGTAATGATGTCAAGACAAGATCAACACCATCTGTGTTTTTCTGTTTCCTATTGATTTTGAACTGCAAAGATAAAATATCAACATTCCCTTATTTCATCTTCTAATTTTTCAATGTTATTTCACATGGTATTTCAAGATGTATTTATCATAATCACTGTGTCACAGGAGTAAATTTTCAGGAATGGTTTTTAAAAGTCCTGTCTTATATACTGACCACACAAAATATGTTAATTTTCCATTCCTTAACAGAAAGAGATGCACCCATTCCAAAAAAAAAAAAGGTTTAGTCACTTTTGTTGCAAGATTACCACTGTATGCAAAATGTTATTTGCATTTCAAAATACAACATATATGGCATTTCAAAACAACTTGTTGTCTCCCTTAAGAATAATTTTTGTATTTAAATATCTAATTTTTTTACGCCACATCACAATCTATAGACCAAAATCCATAGTCAATGTATTGAATCTTTTCAACACAAAAGGGTGAAAAGTAATCTTGATGGTGTCTTTACATTATTGGCTAGCTGAGAGGCACAACTCCTAAAAAGTGAGCTTTTTTGTGTGGTAAAGAACAAAATATAAACATTCTACATGCAGTCAACTGATAAAAAATACAACAGCTGTAATAACATGGCACAACAAAATTAAATATTTGCCAAGTATTTCAGCTATTATTCAACGACCTCATACACAACAGAATTATATTGTCATTCAATTCTTTCACAACAGGTAACAATCAACTTATGTTTTTATATTATCATATTATTTTCCTTTTTAAATATGATCATTTAATCTATTGAGTATGGACTGCACATTATCAAAAGCAAGGTGAAGGAGTAAATATTTCAGTGTCTCAGACCCCATTCTTGTAGACACCATTAGTCAACATGGATTGACCCAATCTGCAGGAACTTGTTGAGTGCAATCAGCTTAACTGAATGACAAACATCTTTTTTTTTTCAATGCACTTGTGTCATCACCAGCTTTTCTGTATTCTACTTAACACAAGGGGGAGGTGTAATAATCTGTAAGACCCCATTTCCAGAGATTAGATCGATCTACTTTAGATCGACCTAACTCCCTGGGGGTTCACGCTAAATAGCTGTCAGCCGAGCGGACACGAAAGTTAATTACCCCCTTACAGCTTGTAGTAGGCAGGACAGACATTTAAGCTGGATTATCTGACAGTAATCTAGTGAGACTCCCCGCGGGGATAGATCGATCTAAAAGCTCTGGGAATACAGCCTTAAACTGTTTGCAATTAGCAATAGTCCCAGTAGAGTTGGGCCGATCCTTGTAGATTATTGGAATGAGGCCTAAAATAAGACAGAGGGTTCACAAACTTTGCTCATAAACTGCCCCTAAACAGACCCCAGTCTATTTCCATAGAATTTGTTCATGCACAGCAATGAAGAGTTTGAACCCAAATTCTTCTTTTTGAATAAAGCCAAATGTTTATTTTTCCAATTCAAACAACTTCATAACTTTCTCACCTGAAGCATATGAAGAGCATTCATACACATATTATATTTTGTATTTACCCTTGATAATCACTTTTGAAATGTTCTCATTTTTAACAGGTGTATCTTACATAAGATCTGGAAGTTTATTTTGATAACCTGTGTTAACATTAATTTCAATTTAAAGCAAGCATGGGGATGGATTTGTAAAGAAAGTATAATACAATTGTACATTAATACTTAGAGACAGACATACTAGTATAATGCTTCACATCTCAGGCAATGACAGTTTATTTGCCTAAAAAGACTTAATATATTAGTATAAGCAATGTTTTTCCTGATTCATTAGTTTTAATAATAAAGGGTGAAACAGAATCATTAGGGCCTTCTGCATACAAATGGTGCCCAATGCTGGTCATGGTGAAACTGACCATCCATGTAAAACTTACCAAATCAACATACACTGTGTTTCAGAGCAGCATGTTTACTCTTAGGTAACAAATAGATACTGCTCATTAAGTGAGCAATTACTGTATGTACACCATTTCTTGTTAAGTCGTTAGAACATTTTCTATCAAGCTATTCATAAACACCATTCATCTTTATGAAGAGATATTTTACAAGTGGACAAGATGCCTACTCAAAATCTTATTGGTGCCATTGAATCTAGATTGCATTCATAAAATCGGGCTAATGCTAATACATGTTAGGGCAATAGATATTCAACTAATATTATAAATTACTTTACATTGCTGTTTCGCTCTGCACTTACAAGAAGTGCTGGCTGTCTGCCTATGCCCTGATTTGAATGTATTGGAAAAAGCAAAGTTTATCTTTTCAATTAAGTCATTTAACAACCTTGGTCTGTCATCACCTAATCCTTCTGATTGATTTAGTACTTAAATGTTGACTTATAATCAGAATCTTTCTAAGCAATCAATATTCTTAAATACTTTTGCAAATACATTCAAACTTGTTCTTTAAAATCCAATAGTCAGAAGCTATAATGGGAGATTTATTCATGCTTGTACCTGTATGGCCTACTTTTTGAATATAAAGTTACTGGTAAATGTTAACTGAAACAATGTAGACAATGCGAAAAATCGTATTATCAATCTTACACATTAATTTTCTTTTCATTTAAGCCAGGGTGAACTTTTTCAACAAATCTCTAATGAATTATTTGATTTAATTGAATTAATTTTGATTAATTTTGATTTTATTTTATATAATTCAAATATTTTTGTTATTTGGGTACTGCTAGATGTAGAAAAATTGTAGTCTGCTCTCTGCCTTTTTTCCTTGAATTTTTGTATTTTTGCTTAATTATTTCATCAACTCACCTTATTTCTTTTTTTCTGTTATTAAAAGTTGAATTTGAAACAAAGTTCACAAAATATTAAATGTAGAATATTTTAACTCATTCCAAGAATCACTCATTCCTAGAATCAACCTGTCCAAAATCATTCTTTCCAGAGTATTTAGAGTATTTAATATTACAGGTCATAAAACCTATTTTTAAAAAGATATCTGCATATTGCCAAGACAACATAGAATATTTTAACAGAGAAAAACATGTAGTTGGGGGAAAAAAGCTCATTTTTTCATCCTCCAAAGTCCACTGCATATATATATATTCACTACATTCAGTCTGGGAGGTTGGGGTCATGTTGATACTCTCCCATACCGTTACTCCCCCACATCATTACTCCCCCGCACCGATACTCCCCTGCACCAGTAAATTTTTGTGTATTATGCGCATTGATATGACCCCACACCAATAGATCCCTGCACTGATACATCCCCAGTAAAATTGCCGATGTAGGCGCACTGTTACTCCCTCACACCGATACTCCCCCATATCATTCCTCCCCCACATCGATACTGCGGGGGAGTATCGGTGCAGGGAAGTATTGGTGCGGGGAAATACTGGTGCGGAGGAGTATCGGTGCGGGACATACAGGGATGTAACCGGGAGGTTAACACTGGCCCTGTACCAAATGCCAGCAAAAATTTATGAAACTTTATGAAATTTATTCAGTCGATGCCCAATAAATACTGGATTTTTTTTTTCTTTTTCTTTTGTCAAAAGGTCCAAAACCCACAGAGACTTCTTGGCACAGCTAAACTTAAAATGGCACAGGGGCATATTGATGCAGGCACAATATGATTATTTTCCTTGGTAAGTAATGATGTATGTCATATAAAGATGAGCCCCTTAAAAAGAACTAATTTTTCACAATCAGAATACCTCATTTGAGAAAGGGCTAGCAGCAGTCATTCATTGTGCCTTAATGAGTTACAGTGTTACAGAAGGGCAAATTCATATATATATATGACTGGGGAGGGGGGAGGGGGGCACTTGTTTCCTCACTATGTACATACAATTACAATATATAGAGCCTACCCACATACAACAACTTTGCAGTAGCTTTGCGTGATGATTTTTTAATATCTTAATTAAATACCTTGCTTTTCAGCATTTGTCCGGCGGCTTGGCCAACGAAGCCATGTGGAATGTCAGCTGTTTCGGTGTCTCCAACCCCATCGATCTGGGCCAGTGTCAGACGTCTCATATTTCTCGCATTTTCTATCTCTTGCAGTTCAGGATCCAGCTTCTTTGCCAATGTATATTTGGGGCCTCCTGTTCGGGTAGCTGGCCTTGGCCCCAAAATATCATCAAGGGGTCCCGCTGGAGCAGCAGTCGCTGGACGACCATCATCGTACAAGCCTCTGTTGAAAGCTTTGTGGGTTTGTAGATTTGCAGCGGCCGAACTTGGGCGGATTTTCTTCTTAGTTGGAATCGGTATCGTGTCCGTCGGCATTCTGATCGATACAAATAATTAAATCTGAATGAAAAGTTAGTAAAATATCTTTAAAACGAGCACTGAAGCAGTAACATGCGTTTGCTTTGCCAGTCCTCCATCTTTGACAGCCTTCTCACAGTTACAAATGTAAACTTTGCTTCCGCAACGGATTGATGTTTACATGTCGGTTTAACCACAGCATATTCCAATTCTTTAAATATTTGACAATCTAAGACATTATAAAAGACGATAAAGGCATATTTATCTAATAAGTTGACCTGGAGACTAAAATTTCTATAGAAGAAGGAACGGATTAGTTTTAGAGCAGTTACCAGGAGACGACGTATTTATGCGCAGTACAGTGCAACCGACACAACACAGAACACCTGCTCGTCTCACCTGTAGCAATGGGCTTGATTTTTTTTTTAGAGGAGGGTGTCTCGGTAGTCAGCCCATCGTTAGCTGATGATGACATTTGTCCTTTTTAAAATTATTTTTCTGAATATTGATTATTCGTTGCACGTTTTAAAAATATATTATATGAGTTTACTTGTGGATCTCATATATCGTTAGGCTCTGAAACCTGTTTAACTGCTGAAGCAAACAATAAGCCTCTTCTGCGGTTGTCAAGAAACTAAAATGTATTTTATAATAAAATCTAATCCATAGAAGTGCTGTTTATCGACGGCCAGAGTTCAAGTTAACTTAGATTTGCAGAAACCATATGGGCTTTTGATATGGGCTCTAGAAATTATTTACTTCTAAGTTTTTTTTGTTATTGCTACTTTGTTCACTTATTTTTTTTTTTCAACGATCAAGATACTTAGGCCCTATATAAGAGTCATTTTTAATATATAATACACCATTTTCAAACTTAAAAAAAAAAGTTTCCTTGATAATGACATTTTATTTTTGGTCTTTACTGTCACAGTTTCCTGTTTAATGTAGTGACAACATTGATTTCTTCAGAACATGTTATAAATTGCTGCCCCACGATTTTTTTAAAGGGAATGTGCCCGGAGAACGCCCACCTTTGGCATGCTTTCAATTTGATATTCTGTTACAATTTTGAACCTTTCAACACCTTCCGTGTATAATATACCACAGCTAAGAGCGTTTGACAAAGTTTTTGACATTATTTTATTATAAACATTTGTGAACAATCAACACAGTTTTTACTTGCAAGGCAAGTGGAACATTTAGGTTAGTCTGTCATAACCATTTGCATTATGCAAAGAAAGCAAATTATTATCAGTCATAAATACAGAGTCATCAGTTCACATAAAGAAAAATCCATGTTATTTTTTATACAAACAGAGACTATGACATGGATCTTAACTAAACATAAACCACTGAGGAATACAGAATATTGGGTAGGGGTGCAGAACCCACTCCTCCTCCTCCTCGCTGCAATACTGAGTGCATAAAGCATGCTTTTATGGAACTCTGTGTCTTAATTTCCCCCTCCTTTGGGAAGGGATGGGACTGAAAACCCCACTGGGTTTAGAAAAGTGAATGAAGCAATCCACCTCCCATCCATAGCTATCATTACAGCACCAGGTGCATTACAGATTAATCAATTATACATTGTAGCAAGACAGATGATACTTAGATGTAAATAAATGAAAAGCTGTAAACGTATTTTGATCACCATACGCTGCCAGTTGTGCAGCTCATGATAATTAAATAAACAAATAAAAAATACCATTTGTGCAGATTTATCCTTCTGAGAAATGGAATTTTATGAATACACATACTTTTAAAAATCAGATTCTGCCTTAATAAATTACATAACTTTTAGTAATAATAGTTTAAACAAAAATACTGATATGCAACACATATTACTTTGCCAAATCCCTCTTTAAAGTATTTTGTTGGGTTTTACTTCTTTAACAAATAATCTTATGATATGCTACATTTTTTAAACATTAATTTGAGAAATACAGATGAAACATTGCTCACGAAGACATTAAAATACCATACTTGATTATGTAAAAGTATGTTATGGACATAGAGCTAGGTTAACTTTAAGGACAAAGAAAAGCATTAAACACTAAAAGAGTGATTCAACAGGTATTCTCATCAAATATCATGGATTCTTCAGGAATAAACAAAACTTTATTTTTTTGATTTGCTATGCATTCATTACCACCTAGTATCAGCAATTAAAATTAACAGAAACTTTCTGAGATTCTAGAGTTATTCTTACAAAGTGTAAATGTAACATAATTTTACATAATTAAAACAAATGATTTTAGACTTTTTGAATCTTCATCATAAATTTAGGGTTCTTAATTTCATACCCGATTCAAAATTTCTACTAAATAAGAAAAAAAAAATACTTGTTCAACATCTATTGTCTGGATCTTTAAATTAACAAAATGTGTTAACAGTAAGTGGATTGGCATACCGCATAGAGAAATAATACTTAAAGGCAGATATTGTGATATTGATGGCATATTATGTGAAACATTTTTCTTGAAGCTAATTTAAATTGTGTCCCATTATATGAAAAAAACTTCAACATTCACAAGCATTCTTTGATTTGTTAGCGGCATGCTTTTTTTCACTGTACATATTCATGATTTTAAAAAATAATTTATAAAATGTTGACATGATTTAACTATGAAACAAACCAAACATATTAACTAAATTCAGTATTTAGAAAACTACCATCTTTAAAATTATTTAAGAAATAAGTTTCCCAAAAATATACTTCTATCAAAAGCTGGTTTCCATTGCTTATCCTGTTTGTGGATGGATTTTTGGTATATGGTCATAAGGTATTGCTTTTGGGGGTGGACAGTACAGTGAAATGGTTGTCCTTATAGATGTCAAGATGAAGCAACAACTGAAAATTGTCTAGACAAACCTACAAAAGAAATAAAAAATAACCATAGTTTTATATTTTATCGGCAGGATTCTGATCAGGCGTGTCTGTTTTACTGACCTCCCCTTTATCATTCTCTTGTGGTGACGGAGATTCTCCACTGCCATCAAAGCGCGGCCAGCAGATATTGTATGTTTCCTCCATATTTAAAAAGGATCCTGGGAGAACAGGAATATAGTCATCAAATTCATAACCATCTGCTGAGAAAACGTCTGATGGAGTGGATGTTTTTGATTTGTTTGAAACTGGTGGCGTTCCAGGTATTGGGGGTAGATGGCGTGGTCTAACAGGGGGAGGGCTTTTCATTTTGAGTTTTTCAATAGCAACTTGGTCTTCAAGTACGACACCATTATTATGAGGGTTTCCCACATTGGATTTTGTGAGTGGCCTCACTGGCAATGTTAATTTTTTTGTGTCGGGTCTGGATTGAAAAATGGAGGAGTATGGCTTGGGGAATTGTGGCTGAAATGTCTGCATGTGGAACACCTCCCTAGGTGGCACCACTGACTCCCCGCCTTCAGGTGTGGTGTGAGGAGTGATGCTTTTCCCATTACTGTCTTTCGCTTTCAATTTGTCTGAACTCTTTGATTTTTTCTTTCCAGATTTATCACTGTCCATTGTGCTGTCTTTACTACTGGAACTATATCTTTTCAGAGATTTTCCCTTGTCATCTGGCTTGGTGTCTTTAGGGGTATCTTTAGCTCCACCATCTGATGATGGGGTTGGAATGTGAGATTGAAGCACCTTGGGTTCCTGGTGAACCCCAGGGGATGTACTCCCCTCAGGAATACCAGGCGGGGTTTTCTGCTTGTCCCATACCTCAAAATGAGGGGAAGTAGCATTTAATGCTTGAGCCGCTGGAGTGTTTGGTCTATTTTTTGTCTTCTTGAGCTGATCTGAGCGATCCGAAGTAGACCCAGGAAGTGGAATGTTCTCGTTTATTGTTTCCATAGCAACAGGTTGTTGTTGTGAATGTGAAGATAAAGATGGATCATCTTGCTGCTGGTGATGTTTATGACTCTTTGATTTCTTTCCATGTCCCTTTCCTTTACTTCCACCTTGGCTAACATGTTTGCCATCGGGGTCTACTGTGTCTAGTAAATGTAATGCAGGTTTAGGTGTGCCCCGCCCAGTTTTTTCAGGTGGTGAGGTGGGCTGTCCCCTCTTTCTACCATGTGTGCCCCCATAGTTTTCACGACTGAGCTTATGATGCAAGTGAGGAGATTCACGATATTGAGCACGGTCTCTCCTGTGTGCCACAGGGGAAGCCCCATACATGTCTCTTTCTTTTATTTTTTGTATGCTAGGTGAAGCCCTGACATATTCTTTTGTGGGACTGTGTCCCCTTGTCCTTGCCATTTCCTTCGAGGGACTTCTGTCTAAAGTTCTGTTGATGTCTTTAGTTGGACTTCTCCTAACTTGTATAATCTCTTTCGTGGGACTTTTAACTGGGCTCTTGGCCCTTCTGTCAGATCTTTTGATATATTCATAGTTATGTGGTTGTGATTTATTATGGTGATGGTGGGTTGGAGAGATCATGCCATCTCTTTCACCTTCACCCCTGTCTCTATGCCTGTGTCTATGATGACGGTGCTCTCGCCCTATCTCCTCATAATCATCATCATGTCTGCGCCTGTGTCTGTGACGTTCATGTCTGTGATTTTCATAATCATCATCTGAATGTCGTCTTGTGCGAGATTTGTGTTTATGAGTTGGAGACATATTCTCAGGCATTGGACTCGCATGCAGGAACTTTGCATCATGTACAAAGTCATTTTCTGTTGCATTAACAGCATAGGGGCTTTTCACTGGGCTACGCGCAGGGTGTGGAAGGCTTTTTGACCTTAACTCTTGGTGGGGTTGATGAGAAGGTCCTGCTTCAGCCATGTCAATTCCTTCCCCAAGTAGAGAATTGTGGGAAGAATGTAACGACTGACCTCTGGATCCCAGTCTACAGTTAGCACCTGTGCTTTCCTTGGTTGGAGACTTCTGAAGGTTAGTGTACTCATTACAATTAGTCTCAGAACGTGATACCATCAGAGCATACGGCGTGTCATTCGGAGTCTGTCGTCCTGTTGGTTTGTAGGTCACTTCAGATGATGCATTCCTTAGTGCAGATCTTTTTGCTGCAGATGGTATGAATCCGTTTTCCTCAGTTCTTGTGAGTGTGTATCCATACTTCTTCCTACGGCGCCTCCAGACACAGTGATGGAGGGCAAATATGGAAGCTGCTAGAACTATAGCACAGCACAGTGTAATGGCAACTATGGTTATGGTGCTTTTCCAAGTACCACCCTCTTTAGGAGATCCTGACACAAAGCTCTCTGGGATCACTGCAGCTGAAAATTAAAATCACAACCATATCAACAACTGGTGTACCAGTTACTGGTTTAACAATCCTGAACAATATTGATAAATGTAATCTGCATTCACTATGGGAAGTTTTCTGGACATTTTGAATGATGAATATATGTGCAACATTAAGAAAAGAAATTAATTCAACCGAAGAAATAAGTAACTATCAGTATGTTGAATAGAAGTACGTAAATGTTGTGTATATATATATATATATATATATATATATATATATATATATATATATATAATTCATGGCTTTTTATCTAGAACAAATCCTCTACAACCTACCAACTGTGCTGTACTCTGCAATGAACCCATGTCCATTCAATCCTACTGCAGGCTTCCCATCACTCCGTGAGATCACAAACTCCAGTAGTAGGATATTACCAGATGATACTATTGTCTTAGGCAATTGGCAGCCTGTATGATAAACAAGCAACTCAGACATCTGCTTGTTGCCATCACGGACCTTCAGCCATTGTACATTATCCATCAGGTTGAATTCTTTGAACTCAAGCCGAATACCCTGCCCCTTCTTTGTCTCGATCACCCAGCGACTATCGCCCTTACAGGCTGACATGGCGACTATTTTGCCACTTGGGTCCTTCAGGTGACAACCACATGCACAGGGGGGAGGGGGTGGAAGCTCCGTGGTGGTTGGAGGTTCTGTGCTTCGAGAGAGACCTGAAATATTGAGGATGTAATTTTCAGGTGGTTAAAAGTAATATTTAAATTGTAATTGTTGAAACCTTTACATGTAAGTGTCAGACACACTGGAAAAGAGTCAGTTGCCTAGCTTGCAGACATATTATCTTGTTAATCATGGTATATTTGTTGTAAAACATACAGAAAACATCACTATAAATATACAACTTTAAATATCTTTTCTGTTTTAAATGAACATAAAAGTGTTTTTTCTATGGTTGTACCAAGATTTGATTAAACAAACATTTCACTTTAAACGTTTACCTGTGACAACGATTTTGATTTAGAGGAAAATGTGACCATTTTAAATGATTGTGTTAGTTGAGACATGGTAATTGCAGCTAGTTGTTTTTGTGATTGTGTTAGTGCCTGTACATTTGCCTTAAGCTTTTACATGTCAGAGAATGAGTCTTTTAAAAATATGTTTTAATAATATTGTACAACTGAGTATTTTAAAACTAACCGAAGCATTAAACCATTTCAGTTGCATTTTGTAGCTTTGATGTGCACATTCCCATAGATGCATCCAGCCCAAATTTTAAATCAAAGAAAAATATATTAATCTGCCCTCCTACTCCCCCCTAGAAAAATTAATTAAAAACAAATAAACAAAAAAATAAATAATGAAAATAGTCCCAGTATTAGTAACAGACCTATGTTCATATATACAATGAAATACCCCAAGTTGCCTTTATTTTGCGAGCACCACACTGTGCTTTATTATAGAATTAACTTTTAAATTAAAGATTGATCTGCATACCAAAGCCAGACAAATTGTCCGAAAATGTTTTATCTGATGAACTGGATAAAGTCAAACACCAAAAATATATCTTCATACAAAATAAGATCAATGACAATGATTCCATTTCATCTCACTCCAGACAAAATCAATGATGTTCATTATTATCTGATTATAGTCTTAGTAGTACGCTATTACTATTTTACAACTGAGAAGTTCAGTAAGTACGTCATATCGATTTCATGTCTACATGATACACTTCCTTACAACGATGATTGCTAAATCATAATCCATTTGTAGATTAAGGGCAAGACAAATAAATTGGTTTTTTCAATTCTCCAATAAATTATTTTAGTAGACAGTAATACAACATTATCACCTAGGACAAAAAATGTTTAACTCTATTTTCATGTTCCTAAATGCCAAAATAAGATCTTTATCAGAAAAGTCTGCATCACAAGATTACAATACTTTTTGCTTGAGCATTCTGATTGTCCTCTGTTATACCAATTAGCAAATTCAATCAAGTCAACCTTGAGAGAAATCACAAGAGGATCATTGTCTATAAACTTCTGCACTCCACCTGGGGACAAAATGGCCTAGGGGTAAGGTTATCGAGAATTACCATACCATGACGCATATCTCAGAAAATAATAGTCACCAGTCAGTCAACCTGTGCATTTCAGTCAACAAGTCATGCAACTGCAATTGCATGCATGTTTTCATACTAATATGTACTGAATTTCAATTTTGGAGTCAACCAGTACATTCCCATTTATTATTGTATTTTAATATTTTTAGAAATAATGTTTTTATATTGAGGAAAGCTATAGCATGACTGTGTGTGTGTGTCTTGTGGGGGGGGGGGGGATCAGACTTTTAGATGATATTTTATATATTTCTAATAACTGTATGGTCTTCCAATAAACAGAGAAGAATGACAAGGAAACTCAATTGTGAGGGGTTAAGTATCAAAAGTGGGGTTGAAGAAGGAGTTTCATTACAAAAGAGTAATAAAACAACTACATGCCATATAATATTATATACAAAATAGGTCATTCAGTGCATTCTCATTTATTTTTCTCGAAGTCATAAATTATTGGATTAATTCTATAATTATAATCACAATATTATTTCGGTTTATCTAGTGTATGGGGAAGTTTATTTTCATGACTTTGAGGTGATCTGAAATTTTATTATGTTTTAAAACATATCTTTATATCGTTAAAGTATGAAGGGGGAGAAGGAGAGATAAAGATGACAAGACAAATGTGGTGAGATGAAATGCTGTAAGGTTACAGGTGGAATCTGATTAGAAATTATCTTGCAGTCATCAAGTGCAAACGATAAAAATGCTCAATTCTTTTACTTAATGGCTTGTTTAAACGAAAAGATATACCACAAAACTTTATTAATGCAAAAGAGAGAGTGAGAGAGCAAGAGTCAGGCAAAATTACCACAACATCAGCAATTTCAAACATTGACACACCCTCAGAAATTTCCACTCACTAGAATTAAAGACCAAAATCAGCTGAGGTGCATTTCCAGCAGAAGTGTCCAGGCCCCACTGTGCACTACATACATACATGTAGTAACTTCCCTGCTGGCACCAAATGATGTATTATAATCAACTGCCAGTCTGAATACATGTAGTTGTGCTTATACAACCTTTTGCAGTATACTTACGCCTGCAGTCCACAGTGCAATCTTCCCAGATGATATTCTCTCCTTTGCAGAATTTGCCCCCTGGGGATGGGGTGGGGTTGTTACAAAGACGGTAGCGGCTGTGCTTCCCCTTGCCACATGTGGCTGTGCACTCTCCCCATTCAGACCACTCACTCCAGTTACCATCCTCTACAGGTGCTGCAATTACAAAATATAATACCATTCATTGCCTTGGTTTCTGTGAATGGTTTAGGAACATTTCATTAAATTAATTAAAACGTATTTTAGAAACAATTTGATTGAAGGTAAAATAAAATCAAAAATAGGAAAACTGTCATGCCCAACACCTCCCAGCTTTGTTATACTGTATGTCAGTAAAAGAAGGAAATAATGATGCTTAATTCTAAACTTGTTTTGTTTCTAACTCTGGAAAATAGAAAAAAGATCCTATGAATACAATATTGCTCCCATTCTGATAATTCTGAAATGAATTAAACAAATTAATGTGGTTTTGAGACTTTTTAAAAATATTTTAAAAATGGTTCTGAAAACAATACAGGTAGCTGAAATCATAAGTAGAAATAAAATATGCACACATCTTTTATCCTCCATTAGGCATTGTGTAAGATGCTGGAGTGAAATGCACCATGAAATCCATAATGTCATTATCAATACAATCATAATGGAACTTTTAATTATTGATGAATGTTAATTGCCTAACATGTAACTTGAATAGTAGATTCCTATGCTAAATGCTTTAGGAGCAGAACACTCCTTGTTTTGTCCTAGCAAATGGTAGATACAAATTCTAATAAATAAATAAATAAATAAATAGAAAGAAGTGTTGCAATAATTTGTTTCAGTTATTTTTCTAAATTTTGATGAACAGAGATTAACTCATCAAGCAAAAATGAACTCCACTGTGTGATCAAGGTGAAAAGTCAATGTGAAAAGTCAAATTACATAGACATAAACTTTCATAAATTGCATGATTTTGTTGGCTTACAATTTGTATGCAGAATAATCTGAAATTGAGCTGACAGAGCTTGGTGTATGCATTTTGATAGATACTTGAAAGGAAATGTCACTTGCAAGTCCATGAACTTTTCTTCACAAGCAAAGCGTGTTTGTTCTAATCCACAAAAATAACTTGATTCAAAACATAATATATTTTGTCTATTATACACCTGTCTTTTGGTTGTATAAAGGACATTTCTTTAATTCTTTATCTACATTAAAAATAATCCCTGCTTTGTCATTTTAAGGCTCAGAAAATGAATGTCAACAACAGTGGCAGGTGAATTCAAACATCCTTTTTCATGATTCAAATTTAATGTGCAAGAAAAAAATTAAACGTTAAAAAGAAAACGTAATCTCTACATCTTAACTTTCAAGCCATGAAAAATAGATTAAAACTACACAGAAATAAAATTGATACACCCTTTTCTCTTATATAAAGACAAGCACTCAGATCTTCTTTCAGGTGTATAACATGCAATGACACATCCCCTGTGCACAAAATCATGACAGTATTAAATCTTCAAATTGCAATTTTGCACCGCCATCATCATTATCGTCATCATCAATGGCCCCAAACAAACAGGACCCCTAATGGGGTTTCATTAAAGGAAGCAGGTTAATTGATTTTAATGGCATCTTTATGAAGAGGTTAATAAGATAGAGGAAATGCTTTTGAAGCCCTGATATTTTCTTTTATTATCAGGGATAGTTCAAAGGAGGTATGGTTACCTAAGGAATGGAGCCTTTGTGGAGACGTAATTGCAAGGTACTTCGTTTCTTTCTTATGGCACTGTGTGCAAAGAGTAACAGTATTGCAGGCATTTAGAATGTGAAATCAGCAGAAACAGGAGCTCATATTTTTAGGGGGAGGGGGAGGTGGAGGAAGCACTGAAGAAGGATTGAGAGGGAAGGAAGGACATAGCTCGACTGAGTTTTAACTTGCACAGACAAATTAAGTGAAAGGATAGGGGTGGAGAACAAAAAATGTAAAATATAGAAAACTATTAAAGTTTCCCCTGTCAGCAGGGGCAGATTGAGACCGTCTTCTGGGTCTTTCAAACGACGGTCAGATTTATAAGTTTACATTGAAGGGTATCTATTTTTTCTGTTTGAAGACAGTCAAAAATGGAGGATGGATCAACAAAGATAATTTGGAAGACTGTCAGAAAATATCTCTCTATCCGCCCCTGTCTGTGTGCATGTGGAAAGCTCAAAATGATAACTTTGAAAGTAGATTTTGTATGCCCAACTTCATTAGAAACTTTTCAACATGGGTACCTTCTTTTATAGTTTTGCAAATATGTTCGAGATACATAATTTGGACTGACCCTATCAGTTTTTTTCTTTGATTTTATTCAAGAGATTATTATTTCAGACTTGACATAGGCAAGCACCAGAGAACAGACACACTTGTTCTCCGATGATCTCCTGAATAAAGCTGGCCTTTCTAAATAAATCTTCATATTATCTAGAAAAAAGCTTCTGCTACATGGGTATTTCAATGATTTTAGCCCCTAAAAATGGCGTGCAGAGATGTCTCATAAGAAACTGCAGGACTGGAATGATTCATGTTACTCTCCTGCTTATTCCTCCATCCTTAAATGGCAAAATGTGTCTTGAAATACAATGTCAGGATTATAGAATTTGACTTAGGAACAGAGCAGCCTGCTATCTTTTTACCCCATTGTAGCAGAATAAAAAGCTTAATCCAAAGAAGGGATTACGATACTGCCTTTTTCAACCTGTATTCTAAAGCTTTGGAGATAAGAAGATGAAGATAGGCTTAGGTAGCGCTGATATCCAGATTGGATTCCATATCAACTGATTCTGATCGGATAAAGCTATTAAAAGACATTAGTTTTAATGACATGAGTTAGAGAGTTTCAATACCTTTGATTACACTCTTTGTTGAATCGAAAGAACAGACAAAAAAGTGGGTTTTAAGCTTTTAGCAATATTTCACAAAATGAAGTTACAGTTTATTGTGTTAAGTTTCAATACATTAAAGCTATCGAAACCCCAACTCTCTCTCTCTTTCTCTGTCTTGCTCTGAATTCAAATATTCTAATTTGTATGGCATAATTAAAATCCTGTACTTGGCTAGAAAGTATTGAGAGTGATACAGCATCAGTATCTCCTGTCTTAATTGTTCTACTGTTCAATAAATCAGTACAAGCCTGAATAGAGAGGAAGTTTCAAATGATTCATCATCCAAAAGTAAGTCTGATATCATTTCAGTCTTTTCTAATCACCAAACATTATTCCATTAGCAAGTAAGGTGCTATGGTGCTGATGCATGTATTATGGCCTGTCGTAATGCATATATCGAGTGCTCCAGTAACATGAAAACTCAGGGGGATTTTATTAATTTTTCATCACTTGAGAATGACATCGTAATTGGTTTAATTTGCAACCACTGGGTATAGTAATTGCTCAAATTCAAAGTGTTTGCAATTTGCAAAGGAATGTTCACTCAGTCGTGAAAATCAACTTTAAGTTTGTAAAAATACTTCATGAAAAGAATGAAGCAATGCATTATTGGATTGATAGTGATACACTCTACTGGTTTGATATGCTCTGACAGTAACACACACACACACACACGCACACATGCATATACTTGTGTACATGCTCACACATGTATACATAAATATATTTAAGTGCCTCTTCTCATCTTGCACAAACACTTTAGCCCATCATAATAATGTTTTATTTTCATTATCATTATCATTATTTTGTCATTTAGATAATAAAATTTAGAAGTTTTCTTCGAGAGAAAATATACTGCATCCATATCATTATGTCACACACTGATAGATGATTCACTTACCATTTTTCCCCAAGGAAAAAGCATGAAGAAATAGAAAAAGTGATATAATGTTAGCTGTGTTAATTATTTCAAATGACTCCATTAGTTCTTTAACAACAAAATAATATTATTTTAAAAAATACCAAAATGTTTGGACATGTGAGAATATTTCAATATGCTGACTTTATGTAACAGTGCATTCAACATTTTTTTTTTTTTTTTTTTTTTTTTGAAAAATTGATAGCAAAACCACAACAAATACATCCATGCGGGAAAAATGCATGCATAAATAAAGGATTGTTACCAGGCATACTAAAACAGGGCACACAATAAGTTGAGGAAAAATAACATGAATGTCATATATACTTGTATATTTATTTAATTGCAATATCTCACAGAAACAGGCAGAGAGAAAAAGTGGCAAGATAATACAATTCTAGGTCATCTAAAAAAATGAATTGGGGCATTTGTCCTACACTTTAACAACTAAAATATTTTGACTGACAGTTGTAAGGAGGGGGTCTCTCTCTGTTGTTCAGTCACGTGATGAAATGAGTTTGACCAATTTTTCGTCTTCGGGAATCATGGTCTGAACCCACCACTTCACTGAACCAATAATAAAGTTACAAGACTACCTCCTCTGTAACTGATAAAATGATGCACTGCTTACGCAACAATGACATCAGCAGAAAGCCTGATTTATAAAACTATCCCTCGTTGCAGTACGTATCATCCTGTGACTGGCGTCTCTATACACTAATCTATACTGCATATACCACTGAACCACTAGTTATGCAAGGGATTTGGGTGTTTACAAAACTGTATCAATAAATTTTCTCTGGTATTTTGAAACCACTTTCTCCTTTTCTTTTCTGACAAGTTGTTCAAGATTTATCTTCTTCCTCTTGTCCTGTTCTATGATTTTACTACATAATTATGAAATTCCTATTTATTGAAATGACAACTGTGCAATTTACTTGTATCTTAACTTTCATGCTGTAACAGTTCTTTTTTGTAACATTTTTATGTTTTAATAAGTGTGATTTAAATATTCTAATAACATATCTTGAGGAGAAATGATTTTGAAAAAGGTTCTTTCCTTTACAAGTTTTGTGACTTTCTGCTGTACTTTTTTTCTCCATTTCCTCTGTAAGTTCCTCCCGTTACCCTGTTTTCATTTCACATTAAATGTATCAAAAGACTCCACATCTCAGCTGTCTGCTTCAGAACAATATGTGGAATGATTAGTTTCCCCTTTGCCTTTTTGATGCTGAGAACTGAATAAAGATGTCTAATCGGGCAGACATTTCATTTCGCACATCCAAAAGCAAAAAGGTTGCCACACGAGAGGGTTAAGCACTTTAAAAAC